TGACCCCAGGCTGCTGTCTCCCCGGCCCTGGGCTCTGAAGAGGGACTTCCAGCCGGGAAAAGGCCCCGGGCAGGGGGACGAGGGTGTTTGGGAAGAAGGGTCCCTCTGATGGCGGTGCCCTGGCCTGGAGCCAAGGGCAGAGCGTGCGTCTGCGTGTGCGTGCGTGTGTGCGTGTTCACGCTCTTTGCTGGGGAAGGGTGTGGGGAAAGGGAAGGAGGGAGCGGCAGGCGTGTGACCAACCCTCGCAGCCGTCGATTCGGATGTGTCTCCACTGAGCAAAGTAGGCTCTCTGTTCCCTGCTGCGTAAAGGGAAGTGCTTCTGCAGGGGGGTCAGGGTCAAGATGCTCCATGTGTGTGTCTGTTTCCGGGCTTGTCTTGGTCCCTAACCCTCCTGGGGCTCCCCTCTTGCTCCCTGAGTGCTCTGGCCCCTGCTGACTTCGTGGTCTCTTGGCCCCTCACTCTTCCCCGTTTCCCGTCCAGCACCTTCCTGTTCCTCGGTCTCACCGAGCTCATTCCTGCCTCAGGGCTTTTGCACGTGCTGTCTCAGCCATCTTGTCCTCCTCTTCTCTTCCCCCTTTTTGCCTGACTAGCTCCTGCAGGAAGCCCTTTCTGGCTCTTGTGTCCACACCCCCCAGACCCAGCCAGGCGCCCCTGAGCCAACCCCGATCACGGGACTTCTCTCACTGGGTCATAAGAGCTCAGGAGAGAGCACCTGTCCACTGAAGGGGGCTCTGTGGGGGCAGGAACCTTGGCACCTCTCCCTCTGATTCTCCGCAGCCCACGAGGCTTGACACACAGGGTGTTTGTGGAGCGAACGCACGAGTGAATGAGTGGAATTGCGCGTGTCGTCGCGTTTGTGGGGTTCCGCGTGCGTGTCTCTGCCCTCTGTCACCGCCCGTGTGTGAGTGTGTGTCTGGGTATCTGTGTGAACGTGTCTGCGTTCCTGCGTGTGTATCTGCATGTGTCTGTATGTAGGAACACAAAGATGTGTCTTTCTAGAAAATCTTGAGGATGCACATGTGTATCTGTGTATGTGGGGACGTGTCTCAGGCTTCCTTGGTGATCTGTGAGTGTCTCTCTTTTAGTGTGTACCCTTGTGTGTGTGTGTGTGTGTGTGTGTGTGTGTGTGTGTGTGTGTTTGGGTCCCCAGGCGTCTGCACCTATGTGGCCCACGGGTCCCCAGCCCCTGTGCGCTCTGTTGCAGGACAGCGACCGTGTGGAGGAGCCTGAGCCCCTTCTGGGGAGAGGAATACACCATCCACCTGCCCCTGGATTTCCACCATCTGGCCTTCTACGTGCTGGACGAGGACACGGTGGGGTGTGTGTGCTGGGGACCGCGGCTCGGGTACCGGAGGGAGGGTGGGCTGCCCCGAAGCAACGTACCCACCCGCCAGCCCTCGATGCCTGGGCCCGCGACCTGATGACGCGGACCCTCACCTTGCCCACCTCGCCACAGGCATGATGACGTCATCGGCAAGATCTCGCTGAGCAGGGACGCGATTGCGGCTGACCCCCGAGGTGGGCGAGGGCAGCGGGCTTCAGCCGGGCGGAGGGCCTAGGGGTGGTCGTGCCTTGGCGGGGGTGGGGGGGTATTTGCAAGCGCGTAGCCAGAGGCGCAGGGAGGCACGGGGCCTTCGGTGGAAAGTTATCTCAGTTGATGATTTTTTTTTTAATTTAATTTAGTTTATTTATTGAGTGCTGTGTGCTGAACACTTTCCAAGCGCTCTTACAGGAATCAGCTCATTTAATTATTGCAATAACCCCGTGAGGTAGGTACTCTTCTTGTGCCTACTCCGTAGGTGGACTACTGAGGCACAGGGGATTGGTTATGGGGCTTGCCCAGGATCACAGAGTTATTCAGTGGGACGTCCAGGATTTGAACTGACATTGGCCAGTCTTGGGCTCCTGAGCCCGCACTGTGTGTGAGTGGTATCCTGTTATTTTCACTGTACCGTATTTTGCCTTTCATTCACCACGTACCTGGGAGAGCTTTCTGTATCGGTGCCCTACGAGCTTCCACATTCTTTGGTCTTTGACTTCACGGCACTCTGTTGTGTGGACGCACCATCATTTCTTTGGCTGGTTCCTTGTTGGTTGGCACTTGGGTTGTTCAGCATCTCTCCCTAGTTCAAACGATGCCACAACGAGCAGCCTTGTACAAAGACGACTTCACCCACGCGCGAGTTGTGTCAATCAGTCTGATAAATTCCTAGAAGTGCATTTGCTGGGTCCTAGGGTACCCCCATGGGCACATCTGAGAGTTATTGCTAAGTTACCTTCTGTGGAGGAGGTAACAAGTTGCCCACCCTGTACCTTTGCCAACGATTACCAAACTTCTGGTCTTGTATCTGATAGGTGAAAAAATTTCCTCTTCATGTAGGTTATCTTGTAGTTCTCTATGGTTGAGACTGAAAGCCTCTTTACATATTTAAGAGTCCCTTTATTTCCTTTTTTGTTTGTCATTTATTTATATTGTATGTGCATGTCCCCCCTGCCCCACACTGGGTTGTTTGGTTTTTCTTATTGATGTGTAGGAGCTCTTTACATATGAGGCAAATTTAACTCTTTGCCATAGTAGCTGCAAACATGTGTTTCTCCCTTTGTCACCTATCTTTTTGCTTATCATTTCTATCTAGCTATGAAATGTGTTTCTTTTTCTCTAGTTAACTTCGTCTTTTTTTTTTTTTTTTTTTTTTTTTTTTTTTTTTTTTTGGCCCTTGATTTTCTGTGACCCCTAAAAAGGCCTTCCCAAATCTAAGGTTAGATAATATTTTTTACACGATCCCTTCTAGCAGCAATTTGTTTTCCTTTTTTACATTCAAGTCTTTGATCTATTTGGAACTTACCCAGATTCAAGGTATGGAGAGGGATTGAGCTTTATTACTTTTTATCTAGGCGACTACTAATTGTCTCAATATCAATAATTGAATAATGTCTTTTTTTTCATCAGTGGGGATTCGTTGAAAACCTATGTGCTAATCATCATAATCACGGCTCCTATTAATTGAGGGTGTACTATGTGCCAGGCATGATGCTAAGAACATTGTATTTAGTCCTCACAATGCCAAGTGAAGTGTGCACTGGAATGATCTCGAATATATGGCTGCTGGGAAATTAGGTTTGGAGAGGTGAGGAGGGCCCTTGCCCCTTCTAGAAGTTGCAGCCGTGGGAGTTGAGTTCAGGCTGTGCCTGCTTCCAAAGTCTGTGTTTTCAACCTGTCTGCGTTGTACCCACTGTGCCCCAAACATCCACCCAAGAGGGTGGCATTAGATGATTGAAGTACGAGGCCAAGCTTCAAGGAGCTTATGGGCCAGATAGAAACACAAAACACATCCACACAGAACAAGGGGCAAGAAAAGCAAGGGAAACTGGCAATGCGTCTGCATGTGGGTGCTTTTTAAACAGGACAGAATTTTTTTTAAACAGGACAGAAATGTAGGGGTGGAGGCATGTGGAATATCACCGGCTTGACCGTGGATGAGGATAAGAGGGCAGTGAAGGCTAGTGTAGTCAAGGAAGCTTTCCTGGATGAAGGGGAATGAGTTATTTCTTGTTTTTAATGTTTATTTATTTTCGAGAGAGAGACAGAGCACGAGTGGGGGGGGGGGGAGCAGAGAGAGAGGGAGACACAGAATCCGAAGCAGACTCCCAGCTGTCAGCACAGAGCCCCACACGGGGCTGGAACCCATGAACTGTGAGATCACGACCTGAGCCGAAGTCAGACATTTAACCGACTGAGCCACCCAGGCACCCCGGGAATGAGTTATTTCTTAAAGGTGCTTTGGCAAAGGCACTAAGGTGTGTCTATAGATTCTCTCCTGGGGCCGGGCCAGATGGAGTACTTGGTGGGTCTTGATTGGAGGGGGCTGAAGGTGCCAGGCCAGAGTCTAGATAGACTTTCTTCTGGGGGCACTGGGGAGCCACGGATGGTCCTTGAGCAAGACAGTGAAGAGACTGGAGCCATATTATCAGACGGTGGAGTGACGGGAGAGATTAGATACATTTTCACAAGATCTCTGTGCTGCTTTGGGGATATTGGATCCCAGTGGGACAGGAGTACATGTGGGAGATCAATTAGGAGTCTGTTGCGGTCCTCCAGCGAGAGGAATTTGATGGCATCCTGGATTTGGGGGTAGCGTGAAGATAGAGAGAGGTGCGGTGGAACTTTTATTTCTAGCAGCATGGGGCACTGGATCCTCCTGCAGCATAATAGGGACGTCCTGAAAGAAGGAAAAAGTCTCACTATTCTCCACTCTCCCCCCCACCCCAACCAGGAGCTAAAACCTGACAGGGAGTGGGGAACAACAAGCAGGGAGGTGGTAAGGAAAGGTTTCTCTGGAAGTGAATGTCGGCATCACATCTAGAGTCAACAGAGAGGCTGAATCTTGGACCAGGGATGCGGCAGATGTGACCGACCCTGAAATGTTCCCATTTGATTGAGGCCCTTAAAGTGTCCCAGAGTGAGCTCAGACAGACATGACTTTGCAGTCAGAGGTCACCACACACACAAGGCAGTGGGCCACCATGAGCAAGTGTCAGCAGAAACAGTAACTACCAGATTTGAACCCACAAGGGCTTTAGATTTTGCAATTAGGATACACAGAATTTTTAAAGGAATAAGATATTTAGGGACACCTGGGTGCCTCGGCTGGTTGAATGTCCAACTCTGGATTTCTGCTCAGGTCATGATCCCAGGGTTGTGGGATTGAGTCCTGTGTTAAGCTCCAAGCTGAAGTGTGGAGCTTGCTTGGGTCTCTCTCTCTCTCCCTCTGTCCTTCTCCCCCACTTGTGCTCTCTCTCTCTTTCACTCTAAAATAAAATAAAAACACAATAGCAACAATGAAGAGGAATAAAATATTTAAATAAATAAAAAAGGCAATCACCAGAAAGGGCCAGCAATAATCATAATAAATGAAAGCAATACATTAAAAAGATAGGGACACCTGGGTGGCTCAGTCGGTTGAGTGTCTGGCTTTTGATTTTGGCTCAGGTCACGATCTCGCTGTTTGTGAGATTGAGCCCCACGTTGGGCTCTGTGCTGCTTCTGCAGAGCCTGCTTGGGATTCTCATTCTCTCTCTCTCTCTCTCTGCCCCTTGCCTGCTTGTGCTCTCTCTCTCAAAATAAATAAAATAAACATTTAAAAAAATTGATTGGAAAAGAACTAGATCAAAGTTTTGGAGATAAGGAATAGTCACTGAAATTTAAAACTGAGTGGCCGAGTTCAACAACAGAGCCAGAGCTGAAGAGAGAATTAGTGAGCTGGAAGAGAGATCTGAAGAAATGATTGAAACGTTAACCCAGGGAAACAAGAAGGAAAATATAAAAGAGAAGCTTAGAGACCTAGAAAATTGTGGACAAGGTCTGACGTCCATTTTAATTGAAGTCCTATGAGGAAAGCATGGAAAAAGTTGGGGAGCGGAAGCGATTAAAAGAAAATGATGACCTGGAATTTTCCAGAATGCAAGGAAGGACATGATTCTGTAAGTAGCAATAGCATGACCTGCACTAAGCAGGACGAAAAACAACAACAACAACAGCACACACACACACACACACACACACACACAAAACCATCCTTACCGACATATGTGGTGAAATTACAGACCATCAAATACATAGTCCTTAAAACTAAAGAGAAAAGGTAGCCCATTTACACAAGATCAGTTGTCAGGCTGAAATGACTTCCCAATAACTACAAGGGAAGGTAGAAGTCGGTAGCTGATCTCTTCAAAGCGTTGAGAGAAAAGAGAGACAGGGAGGGAGGTTGAAACTGACTTGACTGATTCCGGCAGGGAGTTTCCTGGACGGGGGCTGAGAGGTAGGAATGCCCAAGATTTTTTGGAGGGGAGAGTATGTTGGGATTAAATGACGGAGGCTTTCGTATACCAGGGTAAAGAGTGTGATAGTACATGGTTAATGGCATTGAACTTTACTGCTCGCATTCAAATCCTAGCTCTGTCCCTTACCAGTTGTGAGATCATGGGCAAAGCTCTTCGTTCGCTGTGCCTCACTTTCCTTCTCTGGAAGTGTGGATAATTACAGTACCTACATCAGAAGGCGAACATGAGAAGCCTATGGCTTAATATATATTTCATGAGGTTTTTTTTAATGTTTTTTTTTGAGAGACAGAGACAGAGAGCAAGATGGGGGGCAACAGAGAGAGAGAGAGGGAGACGCAGAATGCAAAGCAGGCTCTAGGCTCCGAGCCGTCAGCACAGAGCCCAGTGTGGGGCTCGAACTCATGAACCGCGAGATCATGACCTGAGCCAAAGTCGGACGCTTAACCGACTGAGCCACCCAGGCGCCCCTATGTTTCATGTTAATTGAATTTTTAAGTTAATACAATGCCAGAACCTGGCAGGTGGTTAATAAATGTTAGCGCCTGTGCCCTCCAGGAATTGACAGCTGGATCAACCTGAGCCGTGTGGACCCGGACGCAGAGGTGCAGGGTGAGGTCTGCTTGGATGTGCAGATGCTGGAGAACGCGCGGGGCCGTTGTCTTCGATGTCACGTGCTTCAGGCCAGGTACGGTCGTGATAGGGGATGGGGTGGGACTGGTCTGAGAGTGAGCAAGAATTTGCCGGAGATTCCCCGCAGCCGTCTTGGCTTTTGAGACCACCTCACTCCTGGGGTACTTCTGGGCTCACGACCAGGATCCCTTGTGGGCAGACAGCCCCAGGGTCGCCAGGTTGGCAAGTTCCTGGGGTCAGAGCACAAGCAAAATCCTTGCTGGGTCCCCAGCGACTAGCAACCAAAGGCCAGGTACTCAGGCTGGCCAGGGTGTACGTTAATAGGATTGTAAGTGATACATACCCAATTCATACCAGCTTAAGCAGGTTGGTTTATATTAATGACGCGCGGCTTCAGGCATGTCTGGATCCAGGTGCTCAAACAGTGACAACAGGAATCTACAGACAGCGATTTCTCGGCTATCTTTTGTGTTAGCTTCGTTCTCAGGGAGTCTCTCTCCAGGTGTGGGCGAGCAAAGATGATGCCAGCAAGTCCCAGGGCCTCCTACCAGTTTGGCAGGTCCAACTGACTTTCTCCTGTCATTTCCAGCCGATGTCCCGGGACTGATTTTTATTGGCCCAAATCTGGGGCACGTACCTATCTCTGAACCAAGGGCATGGACTCTGACTGGTCACGCCTGAGTCCCACACTCATCCCTGGAGTGGAGAGGTCAGCCTACCTAACTGATGTGAGCTGGGAGCGAGAGAGGGGAGGTCCTGTCGCAAAGAAACAGGAGAAAGAAGGCAGATGTGGGACCGGCGAAACCCACAGATGACTGTCCAGGGGCACCAGCTCATGGGATGTCCATCCTCCCTCCTGCCTGTTTGTCACCCTGCAGTCCCCTTCTCTCTCCCTCAGCTCCCCCATCATTTGCTTCCTTAAATACTACCATCCCCTTTCCCCTCTCATCTCGCATCTTGCCTTTCTGCCTTGTTCTCATATCTTATTCCCACAACCCTCCCTCTTGGACCGCTCCTCGCTCAGGTCGGGGACGATCTCTATTTCTAGTTTGCTGTGTGACCTTGAAGCCTCTTCCTGCCCTCTCTGTGCCTCTCCCACCACCTCCAGATTTCTGTCTCCAGCTGGGGCTCCCTGGGTCTGGATGGAGTTGCAGGGTGGCAGAGGACAGACAAGAGGGCTGGACATGGGACAGGGGCTCCTCATCTGCTTTGTGCCAGTGGCCTCCTCCCCAGCCACAAGGCTGTGCAGGATCCTTGCGAGCAGGAGAGGGACTGATTGCTGTCGCTTAGCAACTGGGCCGGCTCCTAGGAGACCAAGGAAGGCTCTGGATGCCAAGCAGGGGTGGGAAAGGAGCAGCAGGAAGAAACAAGCAGCCCCTGGTGAGGGCTGTCACTGGATTTGGGGGACCTCAGTAAGGAGGGGTTGGGGCAGCTGACGGAGGTGAGACTTTGGGGTTGTCATGGCAACCAGAGCCTGGAGATCCTTGCCCCATGCCTTTTCTTGGGTCCTAGGCAAGGCGTGGGTATGAGTATTTGTTGAATGAATGAATGAGTGAATGAATGAATGAATGAATGAGTGAGTGAATGAATGAATGAGTGAGTGAGTGAATGAATGAATGAGTGAGTGAATGAATGAGTGAGTGAGTGAATGAATGAGTGAGTGAGTGAATGAATGAGTGAGTGAGTGAATGAATGAATGAGTGAGTGAATGAATGAGTGAGTGAATGAATGAGTGAGTGAATGAATGAGTGAGTGAGTGAATGAATGAATGAGTGAGTGAATGAATGAATGAGTGAGTGAATGAATGAGTGAATGAGTGAATGAATGAATGAGTGAGTGAATGAATGAATGAGTGAGTGAATGAATGAATGAGTGAGTGAATGAATGAATGAATGAGTGAATGAATGAATGAGTGAATGAATGAATGAGTGAGTGAATGAATGAATGAGTGAATGAATGAATGAGTGAGTGAGTGAATGAATGGGCTGAGCACTCACGTCCTGCCAGCTGCTATGCGAAGCCTTTTATACACTCAGATCATTTAGACCTTGGCCCTCTGAGGTTGGTCTCTCATTATTTCCATTTTCTAGATGAAGAGACTGTGAGGTTCAGGGAGGTGAAGTGACTTTTCTCAGTGTCACCCAGCCAATGAATGGCGGAGCCAGGCTTTGAACCCTGGCATCCAGTCTCCTATCCAGGGGCTCCAGGGAAACTGAGGCTCCCTTCCCACTTCCCACGACGTCTTCACCTCCTGGGCTTTGTGGTTCAGGACGCGGCCTTTTGGTGCCTCCATTTCCTCATCTGGAAAATAGGGGCGCAGGGTAGCCCTGGTCAACAGGAAGGGTTTGGAAGGGCAGGATGGGGGGTGTTCCTTGCTGGGTCCCTACAAGGGAGCAGTTCATCGCCTTGCAAGCCAGAGGCATTTGAATGGTCTACCCTGAGCCCCTTTTCCAAGGTCCAGCCTGGGTGTTTGTCCTTGAGGGTCCTGCGGCCCTCACCCCTTTCCTCATTTGTCTCCAGGGACCTGGCCCCCCGAGATATCACCGGCACCTCTGACCCGTTTGCACGTGTGTTCTGGGGCAGTCAGAGCTTGGAGACTTCAGTGAGTGGTGGTGTGGGTCCAGGGAGGGGCGGGCCTCAAGATGGGCCCTCCTCAGCCCTCCCTCACTCCCCCTCCCCCAGACCATTAAGAAGACCCGCTTCCCACACTGGGATGAGGTGCTGGAACTTCAGGAGATGCCAGGTGCCCCGGCCCCGCTGCGGGTGGAGCTCTGGGACTGGGACATGGTGGGCAAGAACGACTTCTTGGGCATGGTAAGCAACCCCCCCCACCCCCCGACACCCTGGCTTCCCTCTGCCTCCAAGAGGGAAGGGGAGGGGAAGAGGCTGCGCATCCTGGGATCTGGAAGGATAGATGTGAAAGCTGTCTCGACTGGCTCCTTGGCCAGGCCTGAGCGATGGAGTCCCAGCTCCCCATCGTACAGGTGAGGAGACTGAGGCTCCCCGAGGGGCAGGAACCTGCCCAAGGTCACGGGGCAGGCCCAGATTCTCATTCTAGGGTGAGAGTACCCAGGATGACTGCGTGCTAAGTAAGTACTTCCCCAGCATAATCTAATTTCCCTACCGGTAGCGGCCACCCTGTGAGGTGGGGACTCCTGTCTCCATTTCATAGATGGGGAAACCGAGGGTCATTCAGAGAAGTCGAGTGGCTTTCCCCAGGCCATATGCCTAAGAAATGGCAGAGCGGGGACCTGAGTTCAGGTTTCTCTGACAGCACACTCTCAGCCCTTAACCCCTACCCCTGGAGGCCCTGGGCTCAAGGTCTTTCTCTTGGAGCCTCAGTTTGCACATCTGAGCGCGATTGTCCCTGCCTCTCGGTGGTAGTGTGGATACAGTCCGGGCTGACAGTTTTTCAAAGGAGACGAGATTAGAGCTAGTTACAGGGAGGCTTGGTTGCGCACAGCCTTGGAGGGGGGAATGTCAACGGTGCAGCTGCTTTGGAAAAGAGTCTGGCCGTTCCTCAAACGGTTAAAGACAGTTGTCACATGCCCCCGGCGGTTCCACTTCTAGGTACGCGCCAAAGGGAAATGCACGCATTTGTCCGCACAAAAGCTTGCTAATGACAACCAAGTGTGGAAGCAAAACCCAAATGTCCATCCCCAGGTGAATGAATAAATCCAACGTGGTGTATCTTACGAGGGACTAGGGCTCAGCCATAAAAAGGAACGGCACACTGGCCCCTGCGACCTCGTGGATGAATCTTGAAAACATGCTAAGGGGAAGAAGCCAGGCCAATAAACCCACAGAATTCTATGATTTCATTTCTGTGAGCTGTCCGGAGGAGGAGACGGTGTAAAGACAGAAAGTCTTTGTGGTTACAGGAGCCGGGGCTGGGGTGGGAGCTGGGGAGGGACATCTAAGCCTATGGGTACAGGCTTTGCGGGGGGGGGGGGGGTGGTGGCTGATAGAAAATGTTCTGAAATTAGTGGTGATGGTTGCACAGCTCCGTGAGTGGACCGACAACTTGTATGGGATGCAAATTATATCTTTATAATATTTTAAGAGAGAGGGGGTGGGGCTCGGGGGGCCTCCCGGGCTGTCTTTAAGCCTCTTGGCAGATGTGATTTGTGTCCCCAGACAGAGCGGAAAAGGCTCTCGGTCCAGATATGTTGCCTCCGGCAGCTGTGTGACCTCGGGCGAGTCGCCCCGTCTCTCCAAGCCTCAGTTTCCCAAACCGTAAATTAAGTAAATTAAGTGTAAATTAAGTGTCCCGTGGAAGCCCTCAGGGTCCTGGCAGGAGCTGATGATTTGGGACTGGGGAAGGGAGTGTGGCTGCCGTTGCGCTGATAGGGTATGGTGGGGGAGAGGAGGTGGCCCCTGCCAGGCTGTGCCTCCCCTCCTTGGGTGGGCAGCCCGAGCCCTTCTAGGGCTGGGTGGGGCCTGGGCCTCGGCGGGCAGGTCTGTGTGTCCCCCCTGCAGGTGGAGTTTCCGCCACCGGTCCTGCAGCAGAACCCTCCCCGTGGCTGGTTCCGTCTCCTGCCTTTCCCCAGAGCCGAGGAGGATTCTGGGTAAATGTAGGCTGAGCTCGTGTTGAGTGCTGTCTTCAGCTTGCGGGCACGTCCTCACGGGTGCCCCGGTCAGCCCACAAGCCGTCACCACGCCCCTTCGTTCACCCATTTAACAAGTGTCTGTCTCGCAATGCGTGTTTCGTATGTGCAGATGGGTTCACCGTATACCCATCCACGTGTTTGCGTGTGAACGTGTCAGTCCCCACCAGTCGATGTGCGCTCGGAGCCCTGGGTCCCCCCACACCTGTCCACATCTTCTGTTCTTGTACACTGTGGACTGGCCACGCTGTTTTTATTTGCATTTATTTAAAAAATTTTTAAGTGTATTTATTTATTTTGAGGTGGGGAGGCGGGGGGAGGAGGGGCAGGGGGAGAGGGAGAGTCCCGAGCAGGCTGGTCAGCGCAGAGCCTGAAACGGGGGTGGGGCTGGTCCAAACTCACGAACCCATGAGCTCATGACCTGAGCCGAACGCAAGGGTCAGGTGCTCAACCCACTGAGCCACCAGGCGCCCCGTGACTGTGCCCGTCCGTTCCTGTCTCTCCGTGTCACTATCGGTTCGCACCTGCCCACATCTGCCTTGTTTGGCTAACGTCCATGCTCCTTATATCTGTGTTCACCCCTGCCTATCCTGGCCATCTGCCCCTGTGCACACCCGCCCGATGCTCTTACCCCTGTGGCCTGACCCCGGTCAGGGGGCAGCTGGGTGCCCTGCGGCTGAAGGTGCGCCTCATCGAGGACCGCATCCTGCCCTCCCACAACTACCGGCCGCTCACGGAGCTGCTCACGGAGGCTGTGCGGGGGCCGGCAGAGGTGGGTGCCTCGGTCCCCCCGGGGCCCGGCACCAAGGCCTCTCCCTGCTTCAGAGATCCCTACCTGGGCTCTTTTGCCCTCGGGGCCCTGGGCCACCTCTCCTGCCTCCTGTCCCTGCCCAGGAGGATGCCGCTAGTCCCCTGGCCGTGCTGGAGGAGCTGACCTCAGGGGACTGCCGCCAGGACCTTGCCACCAACCTGGTGAAGCTCTTTCTTGGCCAGGGCCTGGCCGGGCCCTTTCTGGACTATCTCACTCGGCGCGAGGTGACCCGGACCAGTGAGTTGCCTGCATGAGCCCCAGATGTCACGCCTCAAGGAAGGGGCCGGCACAAGGTCTCTGAGGGAGAGACGGGGAGCCTCAGGCCAAGGTCAGGGGCTCCTATGTGTGTGGATGGGGGGGGGTCCCTACACTGTGCACCGCCAGCCAGTGGGACGCAGTCCCTGCTTCGGGCCCCGGTTTTGCCGCTCTTGAGGTGTGTGACCTTAGGCAGCTCTTCTAACCACTCTGGGCCCCTCTACTGTGCATGGAGTTGATATTACAGCTCTCCTTGGTTCCTGAGGCGGGAACGTCATGACTCCCTCCTTGGGTGGGCGGGGTGGGGTGGATCCAGCCCCCGAGCCCAGCGGACACTTCCCTCTGCCCTCCCAGCCGACCCCAACACCCTCTTCCGCTCCAACTCCCTGGCATCCAAGTCAATGGAACAGTTTATGAAGGTGAGCAAGAGGCCAGGCGGGGCCCAGAGGCGGCTCCTTCCAGGGGACTCCTTTTCCAGTGCTTCCTGGGACCCCGGAGCTGGGTCGGCCGAGCTGGGGTGCTGGTGGCTGGTGCCTGGCCCTGCCCTGAGTCACACCTGGAGAGCGCCCCCCACCTGCGCTCTTGGGCCTGACTCAGTCTCCCTCTGAGCCTCTCCCCGTGTGCTGCCCCCCGCCCCTGGCTCCTGGGCACGGCTTAGCCTCATCCTCAGCCCCTGCCCCACGCGGCGCCCCCTGCCCTCAGCTCGTGGGCATGCCTTACCTGCACGAGGTCTTGAAGCCCGTGATTAACCGCGTCTTTGAGGAGAAGAGATACATCGAGCTGGACCCTTGCAAGATAGACCTGGGTCGCACCAGGTGAGCGAAGCCCGAGGGGTGAACCGCGACCCTCTGACAGCCCCCTTGTCCGCCTGGGTCTGTGCCGACCGCCTCCCCCTCTCTCTGGCCCGGCCGCTGGGGAGCCCTGCATTCGGGCCGAGAGCCTCAGCCGTGAGCACCGAGCTCCTCCGGCTGCAAGGGGTAGTGGTCGCGGGCGGGCCTCCGAAGCTGAGCCCCCGGGTTCAGATCCCGGCTCTGGGGTGGGCGAGACGGACCCTACACCTGTGTGGGGACGAGAAGGAAGGGGATAAGTGCTGTCCAATCACCCCCTCGGCAAAAACAGCTGCCGAGAACCTACTAGGCGCCAGACCCTGGCTGAACGCTGATGCCCCGCGGGGAAGAAGTGGATGCAAGTCCGTCTTCTAGGGGGAGGTGCATAATCAACTAAAGAAGGTTATTGAAGGTGATCGGTGGAATGGAGGAAGACAGAGCAGGGGAGCGTCGTGGGAAGTGCCGGGAGCAGGGGAGAGGCTTGCAATATTCCCTAGGGTGGTCACAGGGAAAGCCTCACAGAGACGGGGACATTTCAGCAAAGACTGGCAGGAGGTGAGGGAGGGAGGCGTGCACAGATCCGGAGGGGGAGTATCCCGGGCAGGGGGAACAGCACGTGCAAAGGCCCTGAGGTGGCAGCGTGTGTCCGGCATGTCCACGCTGCAAGGCACCGAACCGGGGTGTGTCATGACGTGTGACGGGGAAGGGATGGCCTCTTTGAGGCGGGCACGCTGAAGCTAAACGTGTGTACAAGAGTGTCCCAGGCAGAGGGAACAGCAGGTACAAAGGCTCCGAGGCAGGAATGAGCTCAGCGTGTTTTTTAAGCAGCAACAAGAACCCGGGTGTGAATGGTGGGAGGGGAG